AATCAATCAATCAATCAATCAATCAATCAATCAGGGTCTGGCTTTTTTGTGGGGGTAATAACATTATTTGAGACTGGGGAAAGGGGACTTCCGGAGGAAGAAATGGTGGACTTCCGGAGGAAGATGGCTCTGCGAAAATCAGAGCTGACAATTGCAGCAAAGAATGAAGAGCTGGCGAGTAGACCAGCTCTTTGAACCTCTCCGGACAAGGACAGGAACTGAGATCGCCCACAAGTACTCCAGACAGTTGTTCTTTGTGAAGAGACTGCAAGATAGCAGTCTTCGACAGGTTTACAGCTCTGGGAGACGAGGGAATAGCCACCTTTTGCTCAAACCGCGATCGGTGCCTTAAAAAAGGACACTGGGTTTGCATACTTCCTTTTCTAATCTCTCTTGGATATTGCTTGTTAACTGCTTTTCAACTATTAGGAACCTTTGCATCAACAGGTTTTACAGCACCGGGTGAGTTTCCCTCAATCCTTAGCGAAAGAAGTTTTAAATACAAGTTTAAGGACTTAATTAAAAAGCAAAAGGGTGATTAAAATTTCGATTTTAGAAAGTTATAAACTCTAAGGGTATGTGGGAAAGACCCTGGGAGATGGGGCGATGCTGCCTAGGGAACGGTCAGATAAGAGAGGGCATAGCCCACAGCTGGATAGTGGGCAGGGCAAGAGGGTCAGAAGGGACCCTCCCTAGTTTCTCAGGCTGTAAAGGAGACAGCAGGAGAACTGTACTTTCAGACTTGCAAGTTTCTGTTAATGTAGCTTAAAGCAGAATTAGCTTATCTGCTCATGTTTCCTGTCTGGTCTACCTGGTAAGGCTGACATCAATCTTGCAAGTCATTCCCCAGTCCACTTATCTTAAAGTTGCTGAGGTTGAAAAACACTGGTTTTAGGCTATGGAAACTGTTAGTCTGAAAAAAAAGAATGCCAGAAACCCTGATCAAGAAGCAAAGCTCTAAGGATAGAAAACTGGGAGCTTCCCCCCCCCAACTTAGTTCTCACAGTACCCCACCAAGTTCTTGTCGGACAAACTTCGAAAAATCCTGAGATAAGTCACTATCAAACTCCCATCTATTGACTGTTTATGTCTAGAGTTTCTCCTGCTTTTTTCTCAGCATCCTCATAATCTCTGACCCTTAGATTAGGTTAGATTAGGGGAAGGGCACCTATAACATTTACTGATCCTTTTAATGATACTGTTAATGTTATGTTTAGGTTCCTTTTTTTTTTTTTGTCTTTCTTGTACCCCATCCAGAATTTTGCCAGGATTGGAGTAGACTATAAACATTGTAAAATAAGTCAATATATACATACATGTGACACTTATGTGGATACATCCTAAATCTCCACTCCTTTCCCATTGTCACAGCTTATTCTCTTTATTGTGCTTTATTCTCTTTATCACTGTCTAGGAGAAATCATAGAATCCTAAGGTTGGAAGGGACCTTGGGGGTCATCTAGTCCAACCCCCCCGCCCTGCATAGGAATTCTCATACCATCCCAGACAAATGGCTACCCAACCTTTTCTTGAAAACCTCCAGTGATGGAGCCCCCACAGCTTCAAGAGGCAGGCTGTTCCATTGCTTAATAATTCTCACACTCAGGAAATTTCTCCTTAGTTCAAGTTTCAGTCTCTCTACAGGTAGTCCTCGTTTAGCGACTGCCTCCTTTAGTGACTATTTGCAGTTATGACAATAATGAAAAAGTAATTTTATGACCAATCCTCGCATTTATGACCTTCGCAGGTCTGCAAAGCAAAGGAAAGCTGGAGTAAGATCGTAAGCACAGTCGCGGTTTCACTTAGCGACCAAGTTGTTGGTCCCTATTGTGGTCACTAAACGAGGACTACCTGTATTAAGCTTCCATCTACTGTTTCTCAGCATACCTTTAGGGGCTATGCAGAATAAATCCAAATCCTCAACCCTGTGAAATGTCAGGTATCCAGTTTATCTCTCCCTCCTGATAAACCTTGTTTGTTCAACTGATTCCACCACTAAGTGCCACTTGATAGATTTCCCACTTTTCTTTGTAGAAGTAGTTGTCTTAAACACCTGTTCTATTTCTGAACTTTTTAAACTCCATCTGAGCTCCTCTCCACTTACCCTGAATTGTAAGCTCCCTGGGGAAGCCTATTTATAGATCTATGCAGCTGTTGGCTGTACCCTAAAGCAGAAGCCCCTCCTACTGGAATCATGTGCCTGAACACATGACAAGCACTAGGAAAAAGAAACTGAAACCCAACCAAATCTGCTTGTATGCAACCATTCAACCTGACCATCTCACCTGCTGATGATGCGCTCCGTGCGCACAGAACGGTTAAGGATGCCTTGACGGATCTTGCGATTGAGTTGAAGGGCAAACCAAACATCTGAGTTCTCCAAGGTCAGGTCCACTGGCAAATCCCCTTCCTTGTTCCGTATTTCAGTGTCGGCTCCCCTTGATAGGAACAGGCTACGTGAGGAGGAAGGATATAGGGGATTAGAGCAAAGGCCTTGCAACTGCTAGTCTCCCACCATCTTGCAACACAGCATCCGAAATAGAAATCTCCCGACTGCCTGTTGCTTACAGGACACAATCGTGGTAGCTCTCCCGGGCAGCTATATGCAGAGGCGTGTCTCCATGGAAATTGACAGCGTGGAGATCACATTGGGCATTCAGTAAGATTTCGGCAATCTCCGCACTTCCGGTGAAGGAGGCCCAGTGCAAGCAGATGTTCTCTTCCTGGATGGAAGAAGAGGAAGGCATTAAAGAGTGACGGGCAACATGGCAGGAGGCCCAACTTTCACACGTTCCCTTGTAGTAACTTTGTGCTGGCCCGTAAAGATCTACAGAAGTTCTCCTCTATCCCTCACAGTGGTGTCCACAAGAGGGGTCTGAAAAGTCAAGATGGCAGTCCCTTTTGTACATGCATCAATGTTGCATGCATGTACAAAGGAACAGGCGTTCAATGGCAGTGCCGTAACCATGTGATTTTTACCCCCCCTCCAAAAATGACACTGCTGGTTGCTCGCCATCATTTCTGGTGTACTGAGGAAGCATGTAGGCTAGAGGCTTCTTGGGGGGACGCTCAAGTTCAGGGAACCTCTTCCACAGAATGAGCTTGTTCAGCTAGGGTGGCCCTGTCCTTAAAAAAGGAGATGACTTGGTTTCAGTTCTGCTTTCTTATGCTTTGTTCCTGAGTTCTGTTCAGGCTGCTGTTCTGAGCATGTGGCTTCCTTGTCACCACAATCGTTAACCGAGTGGAGGTTAGCCCCATCCCTGTTAGCCTCTCAAAAAGCCCCCAAAACATGGTTCTTCCACCAACCTTGGGGATCCCATGGGGAGCTTGCGCGATGATTGTACTGAGCCTAGATCAGTGTTTCTCAACCTTAGCAACTTTTAAGATATGTGGACTTCAACTCCCAGAATTCCCCAGCCAGCC